TATAAATTTTATTCACAAATAATATTTTCTATAAGTTTATTTGAAAAAATAAAATTATTCTTCTAAATAGTTTATATTTTAATGTTATTACATATTTAGATTAAAATTAAGTTAAAATTTATTTTTTTTTACTTTTAAATAAATTTCATAAAGCTTTTGCATAAATATAAAGTGTGAAACAATTAACTTATTAGATAATTTTATTAAAGATATTTAATATTTTTCATTATAAGTACTTAAAAAATAAGTTTTAAGAAATATATTGTTGTTTACATAATTATATCAAAACAAAAAGTGATTTGGTGTCTTAAATTGAAAAGTAGAATATAAAAGTAGGCCTTATATTGAGAATAAGTTAAAATTGAAACCTTCAAATAAAAAGGTTAAAAATTCAAACCTTATTGTGACACAATAGCAAAAAGTGAAGCCCTACAACACAATTTGCCCGTTTATATTTTCAAACTTCATGAAAACCTGTTATTAGAGAAGTTCACTATGTACGGAATTGACACTTGAATTAATAAGTGAAAATAGTCCTTTTCACCCCACTATGGAAATGTATTAAATTTTTCACACCGTTCGTAGAAATGTTAACTTTTTCACCCCATAAAGTAGGAAAGGTATTATGTGACGAATATGCGATAGTTGCGCGATGACATTGTGCGAAAGTTAAAAGTGCGAAGGCATTCGCATATCCCTTCACACTTTCTGGGGTGGAAAAAGTGAAAGTGCGAAGGCATTGCGCGATGAATATGCGACAGTTATGCAATTGATATACTATAGTTATGCAGTCCATTCGCAAAACCTTGGCACTTCTCGGGGTGAAAAAGTTAGATTGTTAGTGAGCGGTGTGAAAAACTTAATGTATCTTTGTATTGGGGGTGAAAATTTTTTTTTGCAATTAATAATACAACCAACCATTCAAAAGGTGAGAGCTGATTAATTACCATACCAGTTTGATTGTGATTATATATTCAAGTTCTCGCTCAAATTTTTGATTCAGTAATGGCCGCAAAAGGCGAGGGGCCTTCAATTGGGATTGATGTGGGGACCACTTACTCATGCGTGGGCGTGTGGCACCACGACCGCGTCGAGATCATAGCCAATGATCAAGGAAATCGCACCACGCCATCGTATGTCGCTTTTGCCGAAGGCGAGCGTCTCATTGGCGAAACCACCATTAACCAGGCCGGCATGAATCCCGCAAACACAGTCTTTTGGTGAGCAGCTTTTTTCTCCA